AGGAGGAAATCCCCCAAACTCTTAAAGAGGCCTCCATTGTCAATATTTATAAGAACAAGGGGGACCGGTCAGACTGTGGCAACTACCTTGGGATCTCGCTGCTCTCCGTAGCTCGCAAGATTACCGTTTGAGTCCTCCTAAACAGACTTCTTCCTGAGGCAGAAAACTTCCTCCCTGAATCTGAATGTGGTTTTAAACCATCACGTGGAACCACTGACATGATCTTTACTGCCCGCCAGATACAGGAAAAGTGAAGAGAACAGCATCGTGACCTGTACATGGCTTTCATCGACCTAACCAAGGCCTTCGACTCGGTCAACAGGGAAGCCCTCTGGTGGACCTCCAAACGTTTTGGCTGCCCACCAAAATTCATTGCCATTGTGAGGCAACTCCACGATGGCATGAACGGCAGTGTCCTGCACAACGGCACCCAGTCAGAGATCTTCCCCATCCAAACAGGGATTAAACAAGGGTGTGTACTGGTACCAACTCTTTTTTCCATCGTGTTGACTGCCTTCCTTACTCGTGCCAGTGCCAATTTAGCCAGCGGGGTGAACATCGAGTACTGGTGAAGGAGGGTCTTTTCAACATAAGACGACTCCAGGCAAGAACAAAGATGTCGGCAGCTTCCATTACTGAGCTTCAGTATGCACACGACCTTACCCTTGTTGCTCATACTGAACACGACCTACAGGAGATCCTGATCACCTATGCAGACGCACATGCACACTTCGGCCTTGAGGTGAATGAACGTAAGACTCAGATTTTCTTTCAACCTATCCCTTGTTCATACACACCTCCACTATCTATTCAGCTTAACAGTACTACCCTCTCTAATGTTGACCACTTTCGGTATCTCGGCTCCCACCTGTCCACCACCGCAAACATCGATGAAGCGATTCATCATCGGATCAGATGTACATCTCAAGCCTTGGGCGGACTCCAAAATCGTATCTTCAGCTGTAGGGAGCTGAAATTATTCACAAAGCTGCACGTATATCGAGCAGTGGTCCTGCCCACCCTGCTATATCGCAGTGAAACATGGGTCACATACAGGAGGCACCCCAAGGCACTTGAAAACTTTCACCAACGTAGTCTACGTTCCTTCCTCCTAGTTCGTTGGTAAGACAAGAGAACAGGTGCCAGTATTTTTGCTGACACCAACTGTAGGAGAATCGAGGCTCCCATTATCCATGAGCAACTACGTTGGACTGGCCATGTTACCTGCCAAAGCAGCTACTTTACAGTCACCTAACGAATAATAAACGTAACGCCGGCGGGCAATTGAAAAGGTATAAGGTTCGTCTTAAGATTAACCTGAAAATGTGCCAAATCGACCCCCTTACCTGGGAGTCGATTACTCCACATCGTAACGCTTTGAGGAGAACTACATGAGAACGTATCAATACATGTGCAACGAATGTGAACGACGTTGCGGGTCCCATATCAGCCTCTTTAGTCACCTCAAAACTCACTAATCTTGGTGACATCCTTAATAACTCGTCTCATTTTATCATGGCTGGATGATCGTCATACTCGATTCTGAGTGACAGCAAAGTAGTAGTAGTGGTGTGTGTGTATCATGTAGATTCACACTGGAAACGTAGAAAAGATTAATCTTGAAAAAAAAAACGTGAAAAGGGAAGCATTGAAATATACTGAAATGTCAATAAATATATTAAAGTAAATAAAGAATTTAAGAAATACACATATAGCCTATATACATCCACTTTTATAATAATTTACTTACAGTTAATCAATTAATGACTTTAAATCTTCTTTGTGAATGTTTATCAGTGGCTCGTATTACGTGTGAAGGATTAATAGAATATTGTGAGTAGTCTTCAATTTCGACTAATTATAATAGTTACAAAGGTATATTTTTATCAACGTTTTCTTTTTGAAGATAAAAATCGTCAATAAAGTTTATATCAAGATACTTATTTTCAGCTCCATGGACACAATATAAACGTCTTGTCCATACAAAAGCATCACACAGTATCGCTATAACCCTTAGTCCCTATATCTCCCTATAATTATTCTGTAATAACACCATTTAAAACTCTCAAAGCATTAAAAGCGCATTGTGGGGCTGTCTCAGGTCTTCGTCATTATCGTGGTAGTATAAAACAATGTGTGATAATATGTGCTACGGCTACATGTATGGAATGAAAATACAACAAAAATCTTACGAGTAACGTGAGATAGATTGAAGGTTGCCGCTGGAGAGTGTTGACACAGTGAAGTACAAGAGGGAAGTGACGCTCTGTTGGCCCGGACGAGGGTTTTGTTACAGGCCTCCTTTCATGGGAAAATGTCATTGGCCGTCGTCATCAAGAGCTCACACAATAGTCGGTTTACGATTGGAGGAAATCCTCTTGAACATTTGACCTGATTAGTGGAATCAATGTCGATGTGTTCTCTGTTACGTCTTTATTCAGAGAATGGAGCTCGTTTTTAGAAAGTTAACTACGAGGAACTAAAATCAATGAGAATTATAGATTGGCAGAGAGAATTCTACTTGACTCACAGATTTCATATTATAAATCAAATATGAGCTACAAACAGCATACTACTGGCACCTGCTCAATGCTTAAGGCAAAAATAATTGGTTTCGAAAGGACAGAAAATAATAGTTTGGAGACTAAAAGGGTTCCAAAAGTCGGTGCTTTGTCTGGGGTTTATTTACATTGGTTCTCAGTATAATTTTCTTCTTAGTACTTCAAGTTAATATATATATATATATATATATATATATATATATATATATATATATATATATATATATATATATATATATATATATATATATTTATTTATTTATTTATATATATATATATATCATCAGTCCATATAGCGCACGGACTTCCATATACAAACAATATCTCACTAGTCGAGAATCGAACACTGGACCTCTGTATGTGAGCAGGGATCTCTACTACCGCTCCACAAGGACAACAAAAGCAATCCTTGGCTTTGTTATGTTCCACACAAAGCCTGTTCATCGTGCTTGTTAAGCGCCGTGAGCCTCCATTGTGGATTGCCCGTGCCAACTATGTGGTCGGAGTAGCATTTTACCGAATCTAGCTATGAAACACGAATATTGATTATACGAGCAATTGGGTCCCTGGAGAGATATACAGCCTTAATGGATATGAAAAGACAGCCAAAACGATTAAAGTAGAGATCTGTGGTCGTCACCTCTGTAACAAGAAAAAGGCATTTTGACTGACTGATTGTATAGCGAGACAGGAATCGTGACGAGTGGTTCCGGGCCTGAAGACTGTGACTGGTGATGAGCTCATTACAGAGAACCAGAAGAGCCAGCGCGTGGCCACCCACTAACACCACAAACATACCCTGGATGTAGAAACAGAAGATAGACACTGTGACGAATAGTTTTAAATTAGATGCCGTAAGATTAGATATTATATATTAAGATCTGAGAAATTGAATATGTAATCACTGGCAATTTTGAAATTAGATATTGAGGATTTTCACACTGGAAATAAAAATCCACATATTACACAGTTAAGTTAAGTGGTTGTCAGTGAGGTTATGTTCAAGAATAATTCCTCTTTTTTTCTAAAAGCACACACACACACACACACACACAGCAAAGTCCCAACCATTGTAAAAAATTATCAATAACTTGTAATAAACCAGTGTATTCACACCCAGTCAATCTTACGTTTTGGACGGGCACTTTGTTGAAATGACCTGTAGTTTGAGCTTCTCCCCACCTAGTTATTATATATCATATTTGTATCACTTATGTTACTTGCATATTATTTGTAAATCAAGAGACCCATTCCCCAATTATGTAATTATATTTTCAGCCTTCCAGCTGCCATCCTCTTTCAATAAACCGCTAATTAATTATTATTATTAATAGTATTATTACACACACACACACACACACACACACACACACACACACACACACACACACACACACACACACACACACACGCACACACACACACACACACACACGCACACACACACACACACACACACACACACACATATATATATAAACGCTCACACAAACTACCTTCACTCACTGCCGTATTTTCACTATTACTGCAGTGAAGATGTTTTCTGTTATGGTACAGTGAAGGAAGTATTGACACTTTACCCAGAGGTTAGCGAGGGAGAGCGAGGTGCTGACGGTGATCTTGCTGGGAGGAGAAACACAGGAAGATATGTTGGGAACCATATATTTAAACCACTGGTTGTACAGTCCTGCTTCAGTCAGTGAGATGACCCTGGTGACAAAATATGCTAGAGTTAACAAAAGCATATAAAAGTTACACACACACACACACACACACACACTACTACTACTACTACTACCATACAGAAAAATTAGGTCAAATAAGAATGAGCCAAGGTGGATGACCAGAAAACTTAAACATGACATAGGAATAAAGAAAGGAATATATAAGAAATTAAAGGGAGGGGAAGAGCAGCTCAGAAATAGTTATAATAAACTATCTAGGAATGTTAAGAAAAATGTAAGGAAAGCAAAGAGAGACTATGAAATCAAAATAGCAAGAGAATCCAAGGCGAATCCCAAGGGATTTTTCCAGGTATATAGGACAAAGGTCAAGGACAAAGTTGGGCCTTTAAAGTCAGGGAGGGGAGAAGTGATAAATGGCAGTGTAGAAATAAGCAAAGCATTGAATAGCTACTTCTTATCACTTTTCACAGAAGAAATTTGCGATGAAATTCCAGAGGTGGAACTGATATTTAAGGGAAAGGAAGAAGAGAAATTAAAGAATATCACTATCAGAAAAGAGGATGTTCTAAAGAAGATAAATAAACTAAAGAAAACAAAATCCCCAGGGCCTGATGAAATTTTCCCTCGAGTCTTGAAAGAGTGTAGGGAACAGATTAGCAGACCCCTCGTAAACTTATTTACAAAATCATTAGACACTGGAGTTGTGCCAGACATGTGGAAACAGGCAAATGTAGTACCCATATTCAAAAAGGGAGACAGAGCATCAGCGTCAAATTACCGGCCGATCAGTTTGACGTTAGTAGTGGGGAAATTTCTTGAATCAATTATAGCAGATAGCATCCGATCGCATCTAGAGAAAAGCAAATTAATCTACGACTCTCAACATGGGTTTACAAAGGGAAAATCTTGTCTAAGAAATTCTGCTAACGTTTATTAGGAAAGTCTTCGAGGTAGTAGATAATGACGAAAATTACGATGTTATTTACTTAGACTTTAGCAAAGCATTTGACAGAGTACCGCATCAGAGGCTTCTGAGAAAAATTAAGGCTCATGGTATCGAGGGGAAAGTTTTAAATTGGATAAAATCATGGCTCACCGATAGAACGCAGAGGGTCAGCGTAGATGGTGTTAAATCTGAGTGGGGCCGTGTAACCAGTGGGGTTCCCCAGGGGTCCGTACTAGGCCCACTCTTGTTCATAATCAACATAAACGATCTAGATACTGGGATCAGCAGTGACATAAGCAAGTTTGAGGATGACACCAAAATAGGGCGGCAAATTAATTCAGGGCAGGATGCAAATGCATTACAGGAGGATCTAAATAAACTGCAGGGGTGGTCTGAAGAATGGCAAATGAAATTCAACACCAGCAAGTGCAGCGTACTTAATATTGGAAGAACAAATACTTATAATGTATACAGCCTTAACAACATTAACCTAGAGAAGTCGACTTGTGAAAGAGACCTAGGGGTACTTGTAAGCCCGGACCTACGGCCTAGAAAACAGTGCGTTAATGTTCGAAATAGGGCAAACAGAGTATTGGGTTTTATATCTAGGAGTGTAAGTAACAAGAGTGCAGAGGTCCTACTGCAACTATATCTTGCGCTAGTCAGGCCACACCTCGATTATGCGGTTCAGTTCTGGTGCCCCTATTATAGAATGGATATAAATTCACTAGAGTCGGTGCAGCGAAGAATGACAAAAATGATTCCGGGACTTAGAAACCTTCCATATCAGGATAGGCTAAAGAAACCTAACTTGCATTCCCTAGAAAGACGAAGAGTGAGGGGAGATATGATAGAAGTATTTAAGTGGGTGAAAGGAATCAATAAAGGGGATATAGATAAAGTTCTTATAATATCCGAGCAGGATTCAGCAACGTTCAAGTTGGATAAGTTTAGGTTTAGGAGGGAGATAGGAAGAAACTGGTTCACAAATAGGGTGGTGGACGAGTGGAACAAGCTTAGCAACTTTGTAGTAAGTGCGGGAACTCTGGAAAGTTTCAAAAGGAGGCTAGATAGATTCATTGATGATAGAGAGTAGTAGTAACTCTCGACAGGAGCTGCCATGCACAGGCCAACCGGCCTATTGCAGACTCCTTATTTTCTCATGTTCTTATGTACTACTACGTTGCTGTCACTCGGAATCGAGTATGACGATCATCCAGCTATGATACAATGATAAGAATTAGTAAGGATGTTACCTTCATTGGTGAGTTTTGACGTGACTAAAGAGGCCGATACGGGATCGGGGCGGAGGCAGCATCTTTCCGGCGTTGCCGCTTGTGTGCCTCGGTTTGCAGTCGGGCTAAATCGAGAGTGGTGCTCCTCCAAGCGTTACAATATGGAGTAATCGTCTCCCAGGTGAGGGGTTTAATTTGGCACCTTTTCAGGTTTGTCCTAAGACTATCCTTATACCTTTTCAGTTTTCCGCCGGCGTTACATTTACTATTCGTCAGGTGACTGTAAAGTAGCTGCTTTGGCAGTCTACTGTAGTCCATGGAGGTAACATGGCCAGTCCAGCGTAGTTGTTCATGGATAATGGTAGCCTCGATGCTCCTACATTTGGTGTCAGCAAGAATACTGGCATTTGTTTTCTTGTCTTCCCGGCAAACACAGAGGATGGAACGTACACTATGCTGGTGAAAGTTTTCAAGTGACCCATGTCTAGCTGCCATATAGAAGGGTGGGGAGGACCACTGCTCGATGTACGTGTAATTTCGTTGATGAAATCAGCTCCCTACAGCTGAAAACACGGTTTGTAGTCTGCCAAGTAGCTTGAAATGCACATTTGATCCGATGCTGAATCTCTTCATCGATGTACGCGGTGGTGGACAGGTGGGAGCCGAGATAAAGAAAGTGGGTAACAGTAGAGAGGGTAGTACCGTTTAGCTAGATGGATAGTGGCGGTGTGTCTGAACCTGGGGCAGGTTGAAAGAAAATCTGAGTCTTAAGTACATTCACTTCAAGGCCAAAGTGTACAAACGCATCTGCGTAGGTTGTTAAGGATCTCTTGTAGGTCGCGTTCAGTGTGACCAACAAGGGTGAGGTCGTTTGCATACTGAAGTTCAATAATGGAAGCTGCCAACTTCATTGTTCTTGCCTTGAGTTGTCTTATGTTGAAAATTCTCTTTAGCCGGTACTCAATTTACACCTCGCCGGCTAAATTGCCACTGGCACGAGTAAGGAAGGAACCCAAGAAATTGGAAAAGAGAGTTGATGCCAGTACACACCCTTGTTTAACCCCCGTTTGGATGGGGAAGAACTCAGATTGGGTGGTATAGTGCACGACACTGCCGTTCATGTCATCGTAGAGTTGCCTTACAATGGAGATGTATATTGGTGGGCTGAGGGTCCACCAGAGGGTTTCCTTGTTGACCGAGTCGAAAGCCTTGGTTAGGTCTATGAAAGCCATGTACAGGTCACGACGCTGTTCTATGCACTTTTCTGTATATGGCGGGCAGTACAGAACACGTCAGTGGTGCCACCTGATGGTCTAAAGCCACATTGAGATTCTAGGAGAAAGTTTTCTGCCGCAGGCAGAAGTCTGTTTCGGAGGAATCGAGCAATAATCTTGCCAGCTATGGACAGCTGCGAGATCCCGCGGTAGTTGCCACAGTCTGACCGGTCTCCTTTGTTCTTATAAATATTGACGATGGCGGAATCTTTAAGGGCTTGGGGGTTTCCTCCTTTTCCCATTAATTCTCCAGGAGAGAGTGGAGACGGCTAGTAAGCAGAGTTCCCCCTTGCTTTATAGACCTCAGTTGGGATTCCATCAACCCCTGAGGCTTTGTTATTTTTCATCTGTTTGATGGCAGTAGCTACCTCATCTGGGGATGGAGGATAGCTGAAGTAGATCAGCTCTGGATGCTTAGGGACCTGTTAGATAGTCAGGACACCCACATCGGTGTTTCGATTGAACATTGAATAATAGTCCTCTTTGCCACACTGGAGGATGCCGTCATCGTCTTTAATTAGGGAGTTACCGTCGGATGAGTGAAGGGGGGGGGGTCTGAGCCACGAGTGATTGGCCCATAAAATGCTTTTGTGAAATTAAAATATTTACGTATCCTGTGCTGGTCGGCAAATTTTTGTGTTTCACATGCTTTATTTTTAAACCAGTTGTTCTTTAGATTGCGAAGTTCGAGCTGGGCCTCTGCTTTCTTCTTACGAAAGGTGTCAGCTTTGGTCTGAGACTGAGGGCTGTTCTGCCAGTCAGTTAATGCAGCACGTTTATCATCGATGAGTATGTTGATATTTGGGTTATTTTCATCAAACCAGTCCTGGTGTTTTCTCCTGTTTTGTTGAGAGTCTCTCTGCAGGTTTTTATCATGACAGTGTCGAGAAAATCCCATTCGGCACTGGGATTTGGGTTATTTGTTGACTGGTTGTTTATAAGCCCATGTTCGAGGTGCTCTTTGAAATCATGTGGTACAACTGGATCCTCCAGATGCTTCGTGTTAAAACCTCTCCTGGAGGCTTGCTGCCTTCGCCGTTTTGGGGCGACTTGAAGTGATAGCATAGCTTTGACGAGCCGATGATCAGTGGTTGTAGCTAACCACCTAACATGTAACGGAAAGCAGTTAGAAGGCGATTTATCATTTAAACGGAGGGATACGTGGGTATCTGAAATTGACTTGTGTATCACGAAGGATGAATGTATAAAATTAATTGAAGAACTGGATGTGTGTCAGGATGTTGGAGGCTCCGACCACGCCCCACTCTACATCACGTTGATAAGCGACAACAAAAATCCTGTGTCAGCGGCCCGGCTGTTAGAGAGGTCATCAGCTTTAGGACATTCATACTACCGACTACCGACACAGCACAAATTATGGAAGAGTCTGTGTCATCAGGCAATTGACACTGAAGAGTTGGGGAGCGCATTACGGGACGTGGAACCACCCAACGTGACTGGTGGCGAAGACGTCGGCACAGCTATCTCAGAGGGATGTCACATCATTATGAACACAGCTAACAGGTTCGCCAAGCAACAACCAAGATATGGAAACGTGTGGGACGAGGCT